CTCTAATTTCTGATATTTCTCAAAAAGTCTATTTTACATTTTTAAATCTAATTTCTGATTTTTTCTCCAAATATCTTACTCTAATTTTTACTTCTTTCTCAAAAAGTCTATTTTACATTTTAAATCTAATTTCTGACTTTTTTCTTCAAATATCTTGCTCTAATTTTTACTTTTTTCTAAAAAAGTCCATTTTCATTTTTAAATCTAATTTCTGATTTTTTCTCCAAATATCTTACTCTAATTTTTACTTTTATCTCAAAAAGTCTATTTTACATTTTTAAATCTAATCTCTGATTTCTTCTCCAAATATCTTACTCTAATTTTTGATTTTTTCTAAAAAGTCCATTTTACATTTTTAAATCTATTTCTGATTTTTTCTCCAAACATCTTAAACTCTAATTTTTGATTTTTCTCAAAATGTCTATTTAACATTTTTAAATCTAATTTCTGATTTTTCTTTAAATATCTTGATCTAATTTTTACTTTTTTCTCAAAATATCTTATTCTAATTTTTGATTTTTTCTCAAAAAGTCTATTTTATATTTTTAAATCTAATTTCTGTTATTTTTCTCCAAATATCTTACCCTAATTTTCACTTTTTTCTCAAAAAGTCTATTTTACATTTTAAATCTAATTTCTGATTATTTCTCCCAATATCTATCTCTAATTTTCACTTTTTTCTCAAAAGTCAAGTTTACATTTTGATTCTAATTTCTGATTTTTTATCCAAATATCACACTCTGTTTTCTAATTTTTTTCTCAAAAAGTCTATTATACATTTTTAAAGTTTATGAAACATATCTTATTCTAGTTTCTGATTTTTTTAAAAGTTCTAAGTATGGGTAAACCATACTAAAGTTTATATTCTCTTAGTACAGCTATTTAGATAAGATGAGTTCAATCTAAATAGTCAGGAACAGGCCCTTTAAATCTGCTCATCTCGATGCATAAAGAACTGATGAGATCATCTTAGGATGAGATCACCATGCATAGAGAATAACACATGTGTAGAAGCTAGGGAGCTGATGCCCGACCGAGAGAAAGAGATCACTCCTACCTAAGCCTTCGGCTTGAGAAGATATAGTCTGTCGTGCGTCCTGAATTTTATTATCTATATATTTTACATGCAGATTGATAAAATGATTGGTATGAAAGTTCTGTATCATGAGCTCATCATCTAAGTAAGCTGGAGGTCTCCTGGGAAATGAGCTATCATATTAATTGTTAATTTTAAAAGTATTTATTAGTAAATTTATTAGAAAATTAAATTTGGTTCGGCACAGGACTATATTATAGTAAAGAAAATATCGATGTGAGATATTTTCTTAGGTTACACGGTTAACCTTTTATTTTGTATGTATCTGGACCCTGTCGCTCCGGGAGTAGCGAAATAGATAACCAACAGGGTCTGAATTTGGTATTACCATCACTGAGAAGATCAAGCTTTCATCACCGAGAAACTGAAACTTTCCATCACAAAGATCTGGTTTTCATCACGAAGATCTGGTTTTCATCACGAAGATCTGGTTTCCATCACAAAGATCTGGTTGTCATCACGCAGATCTGGTTTTCATCACGAAGATCTGGTTTCCATCAAGAAGATCTGGTTTTCATCACAAAGATCTGGTTTCCATCACGAAGATCTGGTTGTCATCACGGCGTAGCAGATAAAGTTTCCATCACGAGGTCACATTAAAGTTTCTGTTTTTTTGATTCCAACAACCTTAAAGTCACTGGATTCCATCAGTCATCAGAAGACCTCAGTTCCAATAACCATTACGAGATTTGGAATCCCGGAATCAACACGATATTTACGCTACCGAGCGTACGTCCGTTCGTCCGTCTAATATTCGTATCGTAAACAACTGTTCCAGAAGTTAATCCTGCAGAGAAGCACTGTTCCAGATTCTTGAAAAAACTGTTCCAGAAGATATCCCGAAGTAAGGTTACTGTTACAGCCTACCCAGAAGTACATTTTTGTTCCAGAAGAAACTATTGCAGACTAAGAAGAAGTACATTGCAAAAGTACTGTTCCAGAAGTAACTGTTCGGGAATACAGAAATAACGTTAACGATAAATTACGTACCGTACCGATTACTAACACCGCATACCGTATGCAAAACGTATATTGTTCATAATATAATTACTGTAGTTGCCGTTAACAGCATATAACTATAGAACCCGAGATACTGTTCCAGAGACAAAAACAGCTTGCTACAAGAGTTCCTGTTCCAGAGACAAAAACAGTTTGTTCCAGAAGTTACTGTTCGAGAGACAAATAGCCAACTTGTTCCAATGTTCCAGAAGTAGAACCAACAGAGGGTTCCTGAAACTGAGATACTATACTCCAGAAACCGGAACACATATATTATGAACAACGATAAAGTTTAATTGACTAACACCTATTTTATAACTCCGCATTAACAAATGCAAACCTATTAGCTCCGCATGAAATGCACCCAATTAAATCCGTCTTTAAAACATAAATATCTAGCATAATTTTGAGCAACTGGAAATTTCAAACTTTTATTACTTAAACTGCACAAATTTGATACTTTTGCTCGGGAAGGTTGCCTAATTCTATATGATATATCCTAGACCGATATCTACTTTAAAACAAAAGGCTGTCTGAATTACTTAAAAGCTGATTTTCTGTAAAAAATCTAAAATTTCAAGTTCAAGTTGAAAAGCGGTTTTTGAGAAAATACAGATAAAATTTTAGATTGTGTCTTAAGATTTATATAGAGAAACTAGGATTGTTAGCTGAAAAAGAATACAAACTTTGAATTTAGATATACTGTTATTTTAATACAAAATTTTGAGAATTAAGCCCATACAATAAGTCTTGAGAGAAAAAGGCATTAAACGAAGGTCATTAAAAATACAGGCTTTTGAAAACAAATATTCTTCTATTTAAATTCAAAGTCTATTTTATTTGCAAAAAATCTGAAGTTTACAGTCTCATTTTTACATCTTTTCCGTATTGATCAAAAACGATACACGCTTTTGAATCCGGATATTCTGTATTTTAACTGAAAACTTATTTTCTACAGAAAATCTGATATTTGAAAAATTAAGTTTTGCATATTTTCTATAGTCAAAAAGAGATAAAGCTTTTGAATCTAGATATTTTGACACTTAAAAACCTATTTTTGAGGAAAATCTGAAATTATTTAATTTTGTTTTGAGCGTAAGGGATACAAGTTTTTTTAACCCAGATATTCTGATATTTATGATCAAAAATCTAACTTACAGAAAAAACTCCAGACTCACTTTGAATCTTTTTCTATTGGTTCAAGAAAATACAAGCTTTTTGATAAAATTCATTTGACCTTTAATTAGAAAACGCCTGTATACTGGAATCATTTCTTTGTAAAATCCTAAAATTTAAATTAACATTTTACATTTTTTTCTTTCCTTGAAATATTCGGAAAGTCAGATGCCGATCTAAATCGTAATTTTTATTAATTTGGTTTTGGAGTCTAAAATATTTGATAACTAGATACCTGGATTGAGAACAAAGTCTACATTCTTTGAATATTTCTTATTACTTTGGAAAAAGCTAAATATCTATAAGGCCAACTTGAAAATTTTGAAAATATATCAGAAATAACAAGAAAATCTGGATTGAAAACAAAATTTAAATTCTTTGAATTTTTTTATTTGAGAAAATAAAATTGAAAAAGGCAAACCTCTCAATTTTAATTGAAATTTTGATATTATCAATTTTGAAAATATCAGCGAGAAAAAGAATCCGGTTTGATAACAAAGTCTAAATTCTTTACCACTCCAATAATTTTTATCTCTACGGAATTTTTTAAAATTGTCCTTTAATTGAATTTTGGCTGATAATTTCCCAATCTTTATACAATATATTTGATTTAAAGATTTTCATTAGCTAAAAATAGATAAGACGACATTTTATAGAGGTTTTGAAATTAATGGTTAACACCATTATTTTAAAAGAGAAAATTTTCAATCTTGAAGATTAAATTTATTTATTATCATTGATAAATCAGACTGATAATTTAAAAAAAAATCTGATTTTGCATATTGACTGATTCTTTATAAGAATTTGAAAATATAAAAGGAAAAGGAATTGAGTCTTTGCCACAAACTCTGATTTTCTAATCACTATATCTTTGGAACCAAATGTTTCATACCTTAGATATTTCAAACTATGAATTCTGTTAGATCAAGTAATCTGAGTTTTAAATATCAAAGGTTTACAACATCGAATTCTAAAGATATTGTGTTTTAAATATTTGATTTTGTTCCAAAGACTCAATTCCTTTACAAGAATTCTTAATTTTTCTGAGACCTGAATTAAAATCTGAAATCTGCAACAAAATTTTATCTCCAAGCTTAATAAATAATATTACTATATTTAGCATAATATTCAAACTTGCAAACTTTGATATAAAATTTACTACAAAGTCAAGCAATACTTTCATGTTTTTCTGGACACTGATTGAAAACCAAGAACCACCTTTCAATATTCCATTTAAAAAAAAAATTAGAATAAATTTTGGTTGATCCATTTTTTGAAATAAGATACTAAGGACCATATGAAAATCTAAGATACTCCATGAAGTTTATTTCATTTGAATTCTGATGACACATTTATAATATTTTTATTCCCTGAAAACTAGGAATTGAGATCACATAGAATCTATTATTCATGTTGAAACATTTTACGTAATTTTGATTTTTGAGTCATTTCCTAAAACTATATTTTCATCCTCTGAAAAGACTATGCAAAGTGAAATTTTGAGATAGAAAAAACTATTTTTCAAAATATATACTGAGTACTTATATCTGGATACGTAATTTAAATAAACAGTGGATTAATTATTTTTACACTGAGATATTTAAAAAGTTAAAATTTAAACTTTAAAACCTAAATTCTTACGAAATTTAATCTTATAGTATCAAAATATAGTTAAAATTCTTCAAAAACAGTTGAGGACCTTTCTAAGAATTATTGGAATAAAAGCAAATTAATAGAAAACAGCTTTATTTGGCTAAATCCAGAAATCAATAAAATCATATTAGGACACCCAGTGTCTGGGTCACCCTGTAAAATACATTTAATGATCTAAATAAATACAAATTGAGAAAAATTTAAATCTGAGATGATATCATAATCTAAACACATATGGGCCTGTGCAAATTATTTTGCAAATCCGTCTAGCCTGAACCGGATTAGTGCAAATTCAATGTGGAAATTTTTATAAAATTATATAAAAATGACATCATAATCTTGACATATATGGCAAATAATATTTGCGAAGTCTGAAAAACTTGCTGAGCTGGTGCACAATACATTGCCCTCATGCAAACCTAAACATTAAACATAAATATTTTCATAAAACTTGCTGAGCTGGTGCACAATACATTGCCCTCATGCAAACTTAAACATTATACATGAATAAACAATTTATAAATTCTGTTTGGAGAAAAATAAAAATACAAAAACATTACAGATTATTTATCGAGTGTGTGAAGTAAGAAGGGAGAGATATATCTGATAAAATATATTTAATATAAATAACCCTAAGTAATATTTGTTACAGAGGAAATGACCTGTAGCAGAATGGATTATTGGACATCATTGTTAATGGATTTATGGAGAACATACATTAATCGAGGTACAATACATTGAATAAAATAATTCTATTCTAACCAGGTGGAATGACTGGTAGCAGTATGGATTAATGGACTTATAGTTAATGGATATATGGAGAACATAAATTAATCAAGGTAACACTACATTGAATAAAATAATTCTAAACCAGGTGGAATGTCTGGTAGCAGTATGGATTAATGGACTTATGGTTAATGGATTTATGGAGAACATAAATTAACCAAGGTAAAATTAATTGGATTGAATTAAATAATATACCGCATTAATTATATATTGAAAATACAGACAAAAAGAAAACTTTTGTTGATTACTTTTAATCCTTGATCTAAATATTGTGTCACTTATTATCCAAACTGTGTAAGACCACAAGAATACAAGAATACAAGAATACAAGAATACAAGAATATAAGAATACAAGAATACATGAATACAAGAGTACAAGAATACAAGAAATCAAGAATAGAAAATTACAAGAAAACAAGAAAAACAAGATTTCAAGACCACAAGAATACAAGAATACAAGAATATAAGAATACAAGAATACAAGACTACAAAATTACAAGAATACAAAATTCCAAGAATACAAGAATACAAGAATACAAGAATACAAGAATACAAGAATACTAGAATACAAGAAAACAAGATTATGTAAAACCTAAGACTTCTTTAGTTAGGAAACCTCAAAAAATGAAAAGATACAAAATCAAAATCTCAATTTAGAATGTGTGGATTTCTACAAAAATCTTAAGGATCAACACAAACTTCTAATTCAGCCTGTCAAATCTGAATAAGAAAACTTCATCTAAAGGTATAACTACAAAATAAACCTTCAACAATAAATTGAAATAGAACTAAATCTCTATCTAGACTGTGTGGATAGAACTCAAGCTAAAGGAACCTGGTAAATCTTCTAAAACTAGAATCTCTTGAAACCTTCAAGGATATCAGAAGTTCAACTGAACATCAAAGGTACAATTAAAAACACATTGCAAAGAATAAAATTTAGATTAATTATAAATCGTTCAGGAGTCTGAGGATTACTGAATACAAAGAGAACTGAGCGGGTTTAAGCTAATAAACCTCCCAGCTCAGAGAATACCTGGATAAAAGAGCGGGTTTTCAAGCTAAGAAAACCTCCTAGCTGATGGAAGGAGAGAGCGGGTCTTAAACCTTAATAAGACGTCCTAGCTCAACTCTTCACCCAGCTAAATATTAAAAGGTAGAAATCTTGACAAAATATTTCTGAATTCTCTTTAAATTACAAAACCTCAAAGAAACAAACTGTCCATTTAGAAGTTGAGTGGTTTACTACACCTGGAGACATTACTGCACAAGCTCTGGGGAAAAAGCAGAGCAACTACAGGTTACCTGAGAACATTAGAATTTCAAGATCAGCTGTTTAAAGTTGAAATAAAACCTGCTCTAATCTTGTTTCTATACAGGGTAACGTAACCAGACAAGATTACCTCTTACATAAAAATATCTGTATTTAAGAAAATAAAACTTTCCTATTTACTTTTGTTGTTTTAATTTATTATTTATGAATAACCTCAATTATTCTTGAAGAATTATAATTAATTTGGATACATTGTATAAATTTCAAATTTGATTCTGAGGTTTAGGTTTATAAGATACTAGCCTTAGAGGGCGCTTCGCGGATTTTCACAAAAAATTTAGTGGATTTTCAAAATTTTCAAAAATTTAATGAAGATCGAATTTTGATGGAGACACATATTTGAAATTTTGATCATTCATAAACCTTCCCTGTGGTCACGTGATGTCCCAACAAAAATTTGGGACCGATCGGTTCAGCCGTTTTGACGTTTATTTGATACAAACAAACAAACACCCAGACACGCCAAATTTATATATAGATTTACAGATAGATTGTTTATATTCCTTCCTTATAATATTAATCTCAAAATTGGATAACATCCATTATCTTTGAAACATTACAGTAATTCCAGTTTATGGTTTGAGTATTAATTTTACAAAGGAATTGAGTTTTTGCCACAAACTCTGATTTTCTAAATTCAATATCGTTGCAACCCAATGTCGTGGACCTTTAATATTTCAAACTTTGAATTCTGTTAGATCAAATAATGTAAGTTTGAAATATCAAAGGTTTACATCATAAGGTTGCAAAGATGTAGGTTTTACTAAAACTGAATGTGTTTGGCAAAGACTCAAAATCTTAAAATATCCCCTGTTATAATTATCTTAACTTAGACTGCCTCTAAATCTCAATTTATCTCACAATTTAATCCATATTTGTTGACTTTAAAAGTCACTATAATAAAATAAAAGAGATCTAAATGGATATTTATAACATTTATTTAATAAAAAGAAAGTTTTGAAATATTTGCATTTAAAGCGGAGTTAAAATTGGTTGATTTAGAAATTAACAAAGGAATTAATGATGGATATTTGATGGCGCTTCATGGAAGTGTTGTAGAGCTTCAAGTTGGTGGAGCAGATCTGGGAACTGGGACGACAGGGCTTATCAATGGAACTAAGGCAATGCAACTCGAGATAGCGGAAACTTCGGTCAGAGCCGTGCACAAGTTTCCTAAGTAAGCTTCTCAAGAAGTTAATAGGGAGATCAGAGGTATAAGCACGCCTGCTGTTAGTTCAGGATCTGCATCATCAGCCTGAAGGAGTCATGGGGGGTGATGTAGAGCTTCATGTTTGTAAGGCAGATCAACAGGTGCGTTGCGCTGAGTATCTGCATCATCATCATGAAGGAGCCAGGGTTGAGATGGAGTTGTGAATGTCTTGAGTGTTTATAGCTGACTGACTGAATACCGGGAGCTGGGATGAACGGGGATTTGACATGTGTGGTGTGCTTGCTTCATTGCGGAAATGGATCCTGTGTACACACACATCTAGAGAATTAACAGAGGCATTTGAGTCGGTACAATCGACTTCCTTATATTTCGAATTTTTTTTTAACAATATTATTTATTTGTTTATTTTTTATCTTTTTAGATTTTTTATAAGTAGTTTTCAATTTTCTGTTTTTGTAAATTAAGTATCCAAAAAAATTTCTTTGTTACATCAAATCTTCACTTTGTAGAGATCGTCAAGGAATATTGAGAATAGGGTTGTGGTTTTCAACAAGTGACCTGGAAATGAAAGTTAAGTTTAACTTTGCAGCTCAGTTATTTCAAACTATGAATTCTGATGGATCAAATAATCTAAGTTTGAAATATCAAAGGATTACATTATCTGGTTGTAGAGATATAGGATTAGAAAATTTGAGTTTGTGGCAAAGACTCAATTCCTTTGGACTAATAACGTTATGTTCAAGAAAGAAATTTGGATAAGCTGAAGAAATAAGATCTTAGAAAAGGATCTAAAAAACTGAAGAAAAAATTGATTAACATTGATCTTTTTCTCAAAAAGTACATAATTGTAATTATTGTAAAATACATTTTGACTGTGTATATGTCATGTATATATATATAAACTTTAATGTTCCATCTATATGTTTGATAAATGAATGATAATATATTTGCTTTAAATGCAAGATGATGAATACATGAATGATAATTCAAAATCTCAATTATTTTTGAGACAGTTTCTAGTTTGAAGTGTCGCACCGCCTTGAGATTTGATTTTACCACTCTAACATACTTGTTCTTTTCCGTAGCCCTTTGCATGTACATTTTAACGCTATAACTTGTTGTTAGCTCATGGTTCTTAAGAAGTAATAGGCAAAATTCTGATAATTTTTGCCTTGAGTTTAAAAAAAAATAATTGGCAAAAACTAATGAAGTCTTGGTTTTCTGCAATTAAGAACATAACTTAAATAAACCAGAAAAACAGATACTAAACCTATAGAGAACTGAATATATGGGACCGAATATTTAGAACATATACCTGGGTGTAGTTCTAAAGATTTATCCGATTCTATTCTTCATCTTCATCTAGTACATCATATAAAGTAAAAAAATATTAAGTAATTCATATACTGACATTTTAAGATTAAATAAAATGCATATCTCCATCAGAAAAAGTTATAACAAAATGGAATAAAGTGTTTACTTTTAAGCAAATTTAAAGCCCGAATGAATAGCTAAAATTTTGTTAAAATTTCGGAAGACGACAATTGTTAAAATAGTTATAACTTTTTAGAAGACCACTGACAATAACAATGCCGGAAGACGACATTTAGCATTTTGTTTTCTTAAAAAAGAACACAGTTGTTTTGTATTGTGGAAATATAAATAAGTGTCATAATACTAAATTAAAGTAAACGTTGATTCACTGATTGGTTGTTAGAGAGTGAATCTTAATTTAAAAAGAAAAACTTTGAATATAAAATACGTCATCTCCGGATTCTAAAAGTATTCCTTAAATATGTTTAAAATAAGTCTATTTGATTGGTTGATAACTGATAAGTCTATTTGATTGGTTGATAACTAATAAGTCTATTTGATTGGTTGATAACTGATAAGTCTATTTGATTGGTTGATAACTGATAAGACAGCCGAGACAGCCTTACTCCTGTGATAATGATTTTCGCAAATCTTTCTTTTCATTCTGCAGAAAGGGGGGGGGGGCGCGCCCACACGGCCTAACTCGACATGGTGCTAGGGGGGGAGCGCGCCCGGCCGCCCCCTCCCTATAGTTGCACCTCTGCCAATTGTAATCAAAAATATTTTTTTTTCAAAAATACTTTCAAATTATTTCAATTACTATTTCTTGAAAGGCAATACACAAGATATATATTGTGTTAAAATATATAAGAGTGACAGGGCAAAAAAGAGGTTGGCAAGGGCGTATACAGAAATAAATCTAGGGGGGGGTTGTATACGCCCTTGGGTTGGGTTAATGGTTATGCTGGAATTAAAAAGAAAAGAAAGAAGAAAATGGGTTAAAAGGAAATAAACCCAGTATTCTCAATAATTTGCCCCTCTCCCCCCTGTTTCTCAAAAAGAGGCACATTATCTGCATGAGACAAAAGAATCGATGAATTGAAAAAATTAAAAGAAAAAAGTGGAATGAAATGAAGAAGAAAGGAAAATGAAAGCAAGAAATTTGTTTTTACCCATTTATATCGAACTTTTTTAACTGATCTTTTTTCTTCAAAGAAAAATAGAGAATTTATAGACTTTATTGACAAGTTTCGTTAATGTTATATATATAATTTAATTAATATTGAAAAAGTGTAGGACGCGTATACACATGAATCATTTCCCCCTCCCCCCCTCCCATACGCCCGGCTTACCCGGCCCATGGATATCAGAGTTTTTAATTTGTTTAATTTAAAAATTTTGCAAGTTGTGTATTATGTCTGCAGATAGTCTAGACTCTTTATTCTTTAGAAAGGTAGAAGGTTATAATACAATTAGGAGAGTTCGGTGAGTTCTGTACGCAAATCTACGGGACTCTCATTGGTCCGAATTTAGTCTACTCTGCAATCCTATTGGAGGATACGCAACGCATTCAAATGGATTGTATATTATAGTTCAACTCAGCTGTTAGCAACAAACAGTTTAAGTGGAAAGAACTTGTCTGCTTGAACGTAACTTAAAGTTGGTAATACAATTACTGTCCTTGATATAAGATACCAGTAATAAGGTCTAAAGAGATAAACGAGTATCAATCAATCAATCAATTAATTACTGTCCGTGAAAGTTAAAAAATAAAACGGTTACATAGTGTTTCAGTGGTTGATTATAGTATAATACCCTGTCTCTTCGGTTCTATTTGAGATATAAACTTTAAACTTGTGACATCTGCGTCAAAATTTTGCACATGTTTTACTTTGGCTGAGATTTATACTAGGACAGACCCTGGATGTGTGAGTCGAGTTAAAGCCCATAAATGAGCTATCGAGTTTACAGTTATAATATCCAGTGGTAGGCGATTATATCAATACAACGAAGACGACTTTTTATTAAAGTTCTAAACCTAAAATTACAAGTTTAAAAGTATTCAAAGAGAAGCTTTTTGATTTGACAGGTTTGACTTCCATGTTAGAGTGTGTGCAGTTGTCTAAAGGAGTTACGCGCGCTTGCCGCGATGAATTACAAGAAAGAAAAAGTATATATAAAGACTAGTATATATTTTAAGGTTAGGAGCGCTAAATACGCTTTCTGGGACTAGCGCTGATCGGCTAGTACAGGCTAGGGGGCCGAGCGCCGCGGATAGAACAGGTTTCCTCTCTGTCTTGTAATTCAATTCACGGCATGCGAGTAACTCCTCTACGTATCTATGCTTTTAAACAGCTTGATACAAATCAAAATTTAAAACTAAAGTCTTTTTCATAGTATTTGCCAAAACCGCCTACCACTGTGCAGAACGGTAGACTGTAGACTGTAGAGTATGCCCAAGGTTCAAGTCATATTAATAAACTAAAGTTATCCTGCTTCTTTCAAGAATGTGAAAGATCATTTCAATTTTTTATTTTATAACAATGAGGCGTGGGGGGGGGGATTACTTTTGTCTAGCTTTCCCTTGGGGCCACTTTGTATGGATTAAAAAAGTGGTGTGAGGAAAGAGGGGCTGAGCGCTGAGGATAAAGGCAAGAGCGGCCCACGCCACCCCCCCCCCCCCCCCTCATTATTACGTCACCTGATATTTCAAAGTACTAAAGAATTTGAAATAATTAGAGCTTGTTACACCAATAGGGTTGCCAAGTTCAAGGAATGGAAAACTAGAAAAATCAGATAAATCCCATTCTCATTTTATTTATATTTCCAGAGCAAGGTTGGTTCCTGGTATCATGGTGTCAGAGGAGAACCAGGTTATTCAGCTCCAGGTTGAGAATAAGAGGATTAAGGAGAAGTTGGTCCGAGTACAACAAGAGAACTCGGAACTTATTAAACAATGTGACTCCCATCGAAGGTTTATGCTCGACTTATGCAAGACAATTGAAGAGAAGGTAGTTATACTCTTATATTGTTTTCTAATACAAAATAATAAACCACCCCCCCGCTGGAGGTGGGGGGGGGGGGGATGTGTTTCCAAATTTTAATTCTTGATTTTGAGTGATAAAGTACGGGGCTGGAGGCAAAATTTTGTTGTAAATCTTTTCTTGAAAAATAAAAATTAAAGAGTTATATGGTGCCTGCTCTTATTTTTCCGCCCTAATTCTTCGAAGGGAGGGGACGCCCCCCCCTTTCCCCCCTGCTTAAGCCGCCTCTTAATGTTTTACTTGATGAAAGTAAACACAAGAATGAACTAATCCATTTGCACTCTTATAAAAGATTTTCGCCCATTCATTACGGTTGAAAGTTTTGTGTGGAAAATGAAAGATTTTTAAGAAAGCAGAATGTAGGAAAGTAAAAAAAGTAAAAGGAAAATTTATTTCCCGAAAATTATCTCCCCACTCCGGCCCTTACACGCCACCGGGGCTAGGAGACGTTATTCTTGGAAATATAAACCCCTTTAAAATGCACGATAGAAATAAGTATACAAACGATAGTAAGTCATATAAACTGAAAAAAACAGTCTTTTCTTATTTCTTTTAAATAATTTATTAATAAATAATAAAGTCGTACAGAGATAGTCCCATATCATATTAGATTATCTCCAAGCTTTAACGCCAAAATGAACCCACAATACTCGAAAAACTTAACATTTTCCGCAAGAAAAATCTTATATAAGCCTTATTTTATTTTTTAAAATGATTCATTCTCATTAAATATTCTGATTAGTTCCTAATCTTGGATAATTTTTTTCCTTATTAAAATAATTTACCAATAATGTTACCATACAGGGTTATCCACAAAGGATGAGTCTTTAATGACGACCTAAAACTCCGTAAATATAACAACCTTAGTGTTTATTTCAGAATTCTGCTTGAAATTTAGTCTTCGAATGGTGTACTAAAAATTTGTCAAAAATATTAACAAGTTGCAGCTGCAGGAATCCACGAATTAAAGTAAAAAAAACTCAAAAATTCTGTAAAGTCGTCTTTAAGATCTCATTCGTTGTGGGTTTTTTTTTTATATTGTAAGTATGAATTGAAGCTCAGATTTATTCAAGATAATATATTTAAAAAGTATTTTGCTTTAATATCCAGTAGAAACCTTACTTTCAAAGTTATGGAGTAATTCCTTTTTACCAATTTTAAAACTAAATTGTCAAGAAAAACTTTTATGTAACTTAAAGCTGCCACCCACTGGAAAATATTTTCTATTTTTTCCAATATAAATCTAGTCGGGGTCTGTATTAATATAGAAAAAAGAATATTTTTTACAGAAAATGCAATTTTCTTGAAAACCTTTACTCCCAGTATAATTTGTTTTAATTTTTTTTTTAAATAAATGATTTTTAAGGGGGATCTGAATGAATTTATGTATAAAAAGAGTAAAAAGCTTCGCAGTTGATGTCGAATTTTTTTTCATTTTTTCCCTAAAATTTTTGAAAATAACCAATCCTTTAAAAAATATGATTTAAAAATGAATTTTGTACAACTGCAAGATTCTATTTTTATTAATATAATTTGCTGTCTGAATTATTTTTTTTGATTTTTAGTTCCACCTGTGATTGATGAAGTTCCTAAAATAAAACCACGTCTAAGTCTAAGTCTGTCTCCGAAACCTTCAAAAAACTTAAACGCTTCCTGTGATAAAGACAACATTATTATCACTTGGATAAAATCTGCAAACCTAAACAAAACTCCGGACTCGAATATTATTCCTGTCACACAAATGGTAAACCAAAACCTAGAAGATAAAAATCAAGTAAAAACCAACATTGATCTGCTCAAAGCTAAAGAAACAGTTAAAGATGTGTCTCAACATGTACCGATCTCGGGAACTGTTATAGTTGGTATTCGTGATGAAACTTTGATTAGTCCTGAAGTTATCCCTGAAAATCTTGATTCCAAACCTACGATTTCAGGTTTCGAACAGTTTTATTACAATCCAAGTTTTTAATTTAGTATTTGTTAACTTAAGCTTTTTCTAACTTTCCAAAAAAATGGTCTTTTTTCTAAAAGAAAAATTCTTGCGAATTGGTAGAATCTTAGTAGGAATTTTTTTAGTTGCGTCTGAACCGATTGATCTGGAAGAGGAGAAGTCTGCTAAGAAGACTGAGATAGAAGACACTGATGTTCAAGAAGATTTTTATTTATTGTTCGATGAAGGAACACGGAAAAGAAAATGTCCTGATTTCTTCGGAGAAAAAACTAGCGATGAAGAGTATAATCAAACCATGAAGTGCTCCAAACTCACTAAGATCCCCGTGAAGCCTTCTTTTTCCGGGATGGGTTCTCAAGGTTCTCCGTGTCCAAGGACGGAGAGAAAAGTATCTGGCCAAGGTTCCAAGACACCGAAGGAAAAATTAACGCCAGCGCCAAATCATCAGAACAAAAGGTAAGTTGCTGCAACGTAAGTTAAGCGCCACATTCAATGATTTGAAACGAAAAGCATCAACTCAATAACTGATTAATTTTACCCATGCTTTCTTCTTAGCCTTAAATCAATCTGCAGATGTTTTGTTGATTATAATTCACGTAGTTCTGTATTTCAGTACTGATAAGTTAAAAGAGTACAATGCAGTAAAAGAGACAGGTTACGAGAACCTAGAGTATGTGGATCTGACAAGATGCAGGTTATGTTCAGAATACTTCGCCTCCAAGGCTCAGTATGATCATCATAGATTGTTGGAGCATCCTCAATATTGTTCAGGTTCAGGTCAGGTTTTTTCATAAAAAACAGTCGTAATTTCTAGGGGTCCTCCATACGTACTAATTACTATACTTTTTAAGATTAAAAATTCAAAATAACAAATTGTTTAAAAAAACTTGTTAAACCCGAATCATAACATTACCCTTTTAACTTTTATCTGAACAACCCTAAAGAAGAACTCTTCTTGTTCTATCTAGAAAAGTATTGGATCCTGACAACTGGCCCTTTTTCTCTACTGTATAAATCTGCAAGTTGTTTTTCTATAGAACCTATAGTTGGACATTTTATGCACATTTTACATGATTTAAATGACGATTCACCTGCAATCGCGTCGACAGTATCTTTAAGGGCAACATTTTAAGTGAATTAATCCAAAGAGATTTTGTTTCAGACGTGCTTTTGTAAATATGTTATACTACATTTATTTTATTACTAAATTGGGTTTTAAGTTTATCGATAATTTGTTTAGTTTGTCATCATTAGGAAGCGGGGTGGGCTCGAAAAACTTAACATTTTCCGCAAGAAAAATCTTATATAAGCCTTATTTTATTTTTTAAAATGATTCATTCTCATTAAATATTCTGATTAGTTCCTAAAATCGTAATTTTGACCCATAGACGGTCTAATATGATGTTAGACACCCTGTACAAAAATATCATTAATTTCCGTTTTTTTTATAAGGTGAAGCTAGACGGACTCAAGGTTTGGATGGAAAAGGAGACGGAGAAGAAAGAGATAGAGAAGAAGAAAGAGAGAGAGAAGGAGAAAGGGAAGAAGGAGAAGAAGAAAATTGAAGAAGAGAAGAAGGTTAGGTATAGACATTATATTTTACTATAAATTAAATCTTATGGATTTTTGTATGTCACCTCAATGGCCTGTACAAGGTGTGTTTGCATTGTGACAGTACTAAAAAAGGACGAAGTAAACATAAATTAGACTTATTTGCATAATTATGAACATTGAACACAGTTGTATTTTTTAAGCTTGTTATTTAAGTTTACTATTGCAGGGACGGGTATTCGAGTTCGATAAAAGGTAAAAAGAAAATATTACTAATAGGGGAAAACCTTGTTGATGTTGAACCCCCCCCCCCCC